AATACAAGTCTTTCAATAATCTGAAGTAATAGAAGGTTAGTTTGCATATTTAATATCACTTATATATTAAAATTTTGTTAACACTTATGAAGACTAAAAATTGTAACTAAATTTATAATAAATAAGGAGACCAACTAGTTACTTTTTTGGAAGAGTTTCAAAACAATATTTCTTTCACAAAGTATAGTGATAGAGATAACTTGGCTGCTATTTGAGCAGATATGAACAACTAACAAATTTATGGTCATGAAGACCTTTGAATAGATGTAAATATTGCAAACAACTAATCAAATACCATTTTAGACAACTTTTTAACAATTGAAGGAAACCATATAAATGCTATTCAAGGTGATTTAAATAACCTTACAAATGTTGGCAAAGATTACTTAGCTGCTATTTATGATGATCCTATAGATATTGAATATCTAGCTGCTACTTATAATAATCCTATAGATATTGAATATCTAACTACTATTTACAATGATCCTATAAATATTGAAGAGAAACATCTAGCTACTGTTCAAGATAACACTATAGATGTTGAAAAAAATATAGTTCAAAATGAAAATATTAATATTATGGAAGACCTTACTATTAATGTTAGGAATTCTTTTCCTTCATGGGAATTAGCTGAATCATATCTTGAAAAGTATGCAAAATTGATAGGATTTCCTTTATGTTATAAGCATTTTGAAATTAACAATATTGGAATCATATGTCGTCAAATATTTGAATATAGTTTTGCTGGTGAACTAGTATCTAATAAAGTAGTTGATTCAAGTTGTTAATATAATCAGTTATCTAGAAAAATCAAATACCAATAACATATAAACCTTAATATGACAAATTTATTGTCAGAAATAAGAATCACTAGTCTTGTTAATTAGCATAATCATAATTTGTTACCTGATACAGCTTTATATGATTCTAAGTATTACAAATTATCAAATGAAATAATAGAAAAAATCAAGTTTTATGTAACTAAAAGAAATATGAATTCAAAACAGATATATCCTTTATTGGTAACAAGTTTTCCAGAATAGTTTATTTGCAAGAAGGACCTTTATAATGCTATTCAAAAATTTAAAGCATCTTATATCTAATGTCAGGGTGATGTATAGCATATAATTAATAAATTGTTAATATTGAAAAACTAAGAGTCTGGTTAGATTATTAATACAAGGCTTGACCTGTTTGATAACTGACTTGTTAGTTTATTTTGGATGTCACCTATTCAATATCAATACCTTATGCATTATAATGATGTAGTGCAAACAGATAATACATGTCAAACCAATTAGTTCAATATGTATTTAGCTTAATTAGTTGTTATAGATAATAATACCAAAAGCAGACTTGTTGCATAATGTTTGTTAGAAGATGAAACAACTGAGAGTTATGAATAGTATCTTAATTACATTCTACAAGCAACTAATAATAATCTACTAATCTGTATCTTTTCGAATGCTGAGCCAGCACTAATAAATACAATATCATTAATAATGCTTACTACTCACCATTTTCTTTGCATATTTCATATCCAAAAGAATCTAAAAAAAAATTTATAAGTAAACTGAGTCTAAATTTTGAGTCTTTTTATAAAAAATTCTTGTATGTCTAGAACAGCTTATATGAAAATAACTTTAAATGTCATTGGGCTTGTCTACTCGAACAATACTCTCAATTTCAAGAATATCTTAATCATACCTTATACAATTGCTATAGAAGATAGGTGAAGTGCTTTCAAATCAGATTTTTTATAGCTAGAATTCAAAGTACACAAAGAGTTGAAGTAATAAACAAGCTAATTAAAGAAGATACTAATAGCACTTCTTCATTATGCAATTTGCATGATCAAGTTCAATAGTTATTAGACAATAAAGGTCAGTAGGCTCATTATAATATATACCTTCAAAGTCTCCTAAGCAATCAAGCACTTTCAGTCATTGAACCAATATTTCATGAGATTATAACTTTTCTATTACTTTTTTTTTCTTTTATATAATACCGAATTATTATACTGTATAGTAGATCTTATATTATATTATTTGTTACATGTCTACGTATA